CTGGTGGCCCAGCCGGGTCCTGGCGACCGCGTGAAGTTGCCTCCGGGTCTCACGCGCCCTCCTTCCGGTTCCCCGCCCCGCACACCCCAGCGCTGCGCGGGTGGAGACCCGCTGGCAGACATCCTCCTTCCGGGGCACCCTCCTCCCCACCCTCCTGTCGTCCATCCCTTAGGTTTGACAGATGGCGCTAATGCGACCCGCCTCCTCCGCGAACCACAGCCTCCGTGAGGATTTTGCGTTACTTTGCCTCGGCCGGCGAGTCCCCCCCCAGCCACCGGCTGATCATGACCCTGTGCCCGCACTTCCTTTGCAGCGGTGTCTCCCACCGCTTCCCTTCTCACCACTTTTGAAACTCCCCACGGGGTAATTGCACGGGAACAAATGGTGTGGTGGCCAAGTCGCCTTGCTGGGTGCAAAAGACCTTTTGGTCTGTGCACGGAGGGCCTGGAGCGAGGTGCTGTTATTTTCTGTAATCAGATCATAAACTATGTTCACCTGGAGACTACACAGCAGTGGGCTGCACCTATAATCTGGTGTCTAAAGTTGATTTAGTGGAACCTTAAAGCTATTACGTGTCCATTTTTCTAGACTACGCATTTTGCCACACGACAAGTGTTATATAAATGTCATTGGATAACTCCTAACATGATTCACAGGCAGTTACAGATGGTCTATGTAATCAACTGAAAATGGTGGGTTTAAAAAAATTGTACTGTATGCACAGTACTATCATAATGCCTGTTACTTAGTCTTCCAGCTAATAGATTAATAACACCCGTGTATATCCCCAGCTGCTTGGAGATAGTGGTGATCTAATCTTTCACATTTGTAGTGCTTAATAGTGTATAAGTGTATTACACTTAACATATTTCTGACAAGAAGAAACTTTATGGAAAAGTACTCTTCTATTTTTTTAAATATATTGTTATTGATTTCAGAGAGGAAGCTAGAGGGAGAGAGAGAGAGAAACATCAACGATGAGAGAATAATTGATCGGCTGCCTCCTGCATGTCCCCCACTGGGGATCAAGCTTGCAACTGGGCATGTGCCCTGACCCAGAATCCAACCATGACCTCCTGGTTCATAGATTGATGCTTAACCACTGAGCCATGCCAGCTGGGCGAAAAAGTAGTTTTAAGTACTTTGGACTGTGTTTCAATGTGAACCCCCCCCCC